GAGTCTGCAGAAACCAATTAAAATAGGCTTTCTGGAATGTAGTCCACTCAAGTGTAACATGCTTTGAGCGACGAATGGACCGGAACAGAGATGTTCTACAATCAAAGGGCACATTAGATAACAAGATTTAAAGAACGCTTTGTTTTAACCAATAGCAACCAACCAAATCTTAGCATTCTTGCATGGTCAGTTAATGCAAGTAGCATTGGACTTGCTTTACTAAAGGCAAATAGGCTGTTCATTTTGCAAGGGAATTTTCCCTTGGCTTAGTGAATGAGGAGAGGATCTGTTGACCTCTACCACCCAATCACCCAATCATGTACCAGAATATCGTGCAAAAGTAATTGCAGTAAGTGCTGCAAAAGGGGCCCAAACCAAGTACTGAGTACATATGCATGCTTGTACTTTTCAGAGGTCCGATATTGTTCTATGTGCAATCCTTGCTTTATTGATTGCATGTAATAATCTACTTTTTTGAGGTTGTGGATTTGGGGCTCTTGGGGTTTTCATGAGCTGTAAGCCATAATCATCACAATGATGACAAATCACGGCTTGAATTATCTTGCTTTGCATGTAATGAGTCTATCTCATATATTAGATTCACCTTTTAAGTTGCATTAGTGAAATAAATGAACTTTGCACGATATTCTAATTATTTGAGTTTCACCTGTATTACAGATGGAACAAATATACATTTCCCAGCAAAGTTTTTCTTTAAAATGTCGCCCACTTACAGTCATCATGTTTCCGAACAGCTCCAACTCTCTCAGCTCGGCTTCCCTGTACTTCCTGTCCAATACTAGAGCACAAGAGAGAGCACAGTCTCTAGCAGCTGTTGGTCTACTAGCTTGGAGAAGGGGGAACGAATGAGGAGGGAGAAGCAGGGAGGAGGGGAGTGGTTTGCCTTGCTGTGCAAGCAGTACTTTCTTTTAAACTGCCTTGTCTTGCGTTTGGGCTGCCTTGAAAAAAAACGGCCAGTACAGTTTGAATGCATATTGTGTGAATGGACCCTGAAAATGGATATAATGGCCAGATCTCAGGGGCCAGATTATTCTGCAGGAAGCTAAAACTTTTAAACATCAAGGAGCAGCGTCCATTGTAAGTGATTTATTCAGCATGTGAAATAGCTTAAAGACAGGTCTACTTTAATATCACGTTAAATAGGAACTTTACCCATTATCCCTCAGCTTAGTGAATGTTCAGTTGCAAACAATACCCAATTGTGTTCAAGAAAAAAAAAAAGATTTTTGCTTGCACAAGATTGGATGATGAAAGTCAGCGCAGCGTCACCTCATTCACTAAGGTAAGAAAAAATTATCTTGCAACGTGAACAGGCTATTTACCTTTAGTAAATCAACCCCACATTGTACAGTACTTAAAACTGACCAGTAATGTTACAAAAAGCAGCTGGAATTGGGCTCTTCGCATCGATTTTGTTCCATATTTGTATTCCTATTCAACCCTCAGTGGAAATGCACCATTTATGAACTATTGATGAAATAATGGTCTATAAATAGTTACCCACAATTGATAACGCATACATATTATCCCAGCAACCTGTAAAAAGAATATACCGTATGTTCCTGTGAAAAGAATATCCTGCTTGTTAATTAGTAGGAGAAGAGTTCTGGTTGAGGCTGCATGGAAAAACAAAGCCCTTGATAGCACACATAATATTCACAAGCAAATAAAATTTTAACAAGAAAGGTGGGGAGCGAGTGGGAGCTCAAGTGAAGACACACATTTTTTATTTCCTTACTGGATGAATCTTAGCCACAGCGTTTATTAAAGATAAACTCCAGGCAAACAGTTAAATACATAGTTGAAGTATATGTTGGAGACTTTTTACCTGTTAGAGATTTTTCATTTCGTCCAGAGTTTTACACAGCCCAGCCAGACAGCACAGCCTGGACAGTGACCTCACTTTTCTCTACTGCAGCTTAACAATACAGCTTGGATACCTCCCTATAATTGCTCAAATTGTGAAAGAGTGGTTCAGGGAGCATGAGACATCATTTTCACACATGGATTGGCCACCACAGAGTCCAGACCTTAACCCCATTGAGGATCTTTGGGATGTGCTGCAGAAGACTTTACACAGTTGTCTGACTCTCCCATCATCACTACAAGATCCTGGTGAAAAATGAATGCAACTCTGGATGGAAATAAATGTTGTGACATTGTATAAGCTTATCAAAATGATGTCATGGGGAATGTGTGCCGTAATGAAAGCTAAAGACAGTCCAACGAGTGTGTGACTTTTTTTTTTTGGCCAGGCAGTGAATACCTCATAGTTTATACACAGACCACCATTTTTTTTACAACTTATCCTACATGGGGAAATTGAGCGAAGCACATTACTTGGATAAGGTTCACATTGCCTAAATAAAGTACTGTGTGTTTTGTGGAACAAGTTCTTAGGACCTACAAAATATATTAGTAACAGATTAACTTTATTTGAGGAACCCCATCAAGTGGTTGCCTTGATATTTATCTGCAAACAAAATATACCCATAAGGATAAAATATAATGTGCAAAAAAAATAATATACACTGAATGGCCAGATTATTATGATCACCTGACGTTTGTAGGCAAATTAGCTATAATTAGCTATAATTTCGCGCTGAAGTTGCTAGAGGGCCAGACCATTATAAATAGGGAAGCAGGTTGTTTACACGATTTAACAGCCTTTGACCATGGGATGATTGTTGGTGCTCAGAGCCATGGAGCGAGTATCAGTAAAACAGCAGAATTCATTAAATGTTCAAGAGCAGCTGTTGTTAAAGTGTTTAAAGACTGGACTGTCAGCCGAAAATCTGGGTCTGAACGTGCGAATCGTGGCCGTCAGCGACTAGTCAATGTTATGGCAGAACGGAGAGTGGTACAAGACTGGTACAAGATAACAGAAGGGCAACAGTGCAGTGTCAGATTCCTTGCATCACCTTTCAACATCTCGTGAAGTCACGAGGCGGCCGAACGAAGTCATCTCGTGGAGTTATCTCGTGGCCCAACGAAGTACTGATGGGGTGGTCATAATATTTTGGCCACTCAGTGTATATCAAGTGACAAATAGTATCAAAGTAATATACTGTATATCGAAATGCAAGCAATGTGATGTATTTCATATTCTTCCTAATATATACTCAGAGTGCATCATGTAATAAAACCAAACCAAGCTTTCTCCCTGGTAGTTATGCAGAACTGTCATATACACAAACACTTCCTTCCCAGGTTTCAGGACAATGTAGATTGCAGCATATGGGTCTGAAAAAACGGCAAGTGGGAAGATGGATTTATTCACCTTATTCCTAAAATTCATGTGTTTTAATAAAAATGAATATTTATAAATATAGTTATACGGTTTTAAATTCCAGAATTAAAAATTCTTAAAAGTCACATAGTTTTTCTATTATTAGGTCACAGTTTCTCAACCTTTTTAAAGTCATGGCACCCTTTAAATGTATGCAACATTTCAAGGCACCCCAATCTAAATTGTAAAAAATTACATGTGGTTCCCCCAAAATCTATACCAGACCCTTATCTATCAAAGAAGAGTCCCCCTTTCCCATCAGAGCCCTGAGTCCTACCCTGTAATCCTCACCAGCATAGCAGCATGGAAAAGGGTAGGGCGTCGAGCAGGTCTGGATGGAGATGGACTATTGTCCCCTTCTGAATGCTTAGGGAGGTACGGAATGCTGCCCTCCCTGGATTAGCATCATGTGTTTCTTTGGTGCTGTTGGCTAGCTTGCCTACACATGGAAATGTATGACACTCTGTGAAAATGTAAAGGCACGCCTGACAAAGCCAGAAGGCACCCTAAGGTGCTGTGGCACCCTGGTCGAAAAAGCCTGGATTAGGTCAACGCTTTCTCCTTTTTGCCAGCAAGTTTTCTGATGGCACATGTTTATGATAAAGTAGATGTAAGCCCAAATGCTAAAATTTAATATCCGCTATAACATTTTAATGCAATTTTAAAAGCTTTTTTCAATCTTTTTACATGTGTGGCTTTCATTGAAATAGTACCTAGTGACCCCGCAGTGAAGGTTTTCCTTCTGGCACTTCTGCTCCTGCTTTGATACACGATCACATATGCCCATGGTGAAGACTACAAGCAGCAGTGTCAACACATTGTGTAGGCATGGTCCAAGGATGTCAATATCAGGAAGCCAGTCCAAAGAAATAATGTGCAGCCAACATCTGCACATCCTGTCGGCGTACGCACACCCGCACAGACGTGTAGGGCGGCGTGACGGCCGTTTCTAGTGTGAATGAGGGCTTAAAGGAAGTTGAAAGATAACAGACTTACTGGCCGGATTAACAGGTGAAAATAAGGGGAAAAAATGCAACCTCTACATCTAAGATTTGGTAAACTGCAATAGATATAGAAAAATAAAAACTTTAAATAAATAAAATTCTAGCTGAAACTTTATCTTCTCCCTACAGAAGTTTTTTTAACCTCTTCAGCGTCCCGCATAAAAAATGTGCACTGTTCGGTCATTTTGTCCCAGTCTGTGTCTCAATTCCGTCTTGGGGTTTCAATGTTTCACGCAACAAGTCCAGCAGAAATTGTGTCAGTGGAAAAATTTTCCAGTCACTGCTTCCAAGGGTGGCAGTCTGGCCATTAATCTTTAATGAAAACCGTCCTCTGTGTGATATTGAGCAAATCTACTTATATTTTTAATGGGAAAAATTGCATTATTAAAGATGAAAAATAGCTCTGCTCTAAAGAAAAATAGGCCAAGAAAACAAGACAGTCACTTTGGACTTAATGACCTTTCATGTTCATGAAATGGCTTATAGACTTTAATTGGAAAAGCTGTCATTTCATTAGCAATATGTAGTATTGCTGCATATATTGATTGGAACATTGTCATCTACCCGTGCTGGTGTGCGCAGATTTAAAATGAACATTTAATTGTGCCGTTTATATTAATAGCGTTTATTTGGCAGCCTTTCAGGGTTTATGCATGAATTCATTTCTTTGGTTTTTTTTCAGGAGAATAATTGCTGTAAAGTATAAAGATTATACAGTGATGAAAGCATCATGATGCTATCAGGAATGGGATTGGAGATGGGTCTGCTTACAAGCCACTGACTGCAGAAAGGTAAAACCGAGCTCCAGGCTAGAAACTTAATAGGAAGTTGAAATATGTATTGGTGAGATGTTTCTCCTGCCAAAAGATGTGGAATTCTTTGAAGCCTTGTGGTCCTGGCACTCCTGCCGAACACCACTGCCAGGTCTCCGACCTGCAGTAAAGTAAGCAGTACAACTTGGTTGGGCTCACACCCTCAGGCAAAAACAACATTTACAAAGCATTTTTCCCCAGAAAATATGCAAAAGTTCAAGGTTCATGCATCTTATATCCTGCTGTATTGTATTCTGGTTTATAGTGGCACACAGCTATTGTTTTTTTGGGTTATATATGGTTTTGCTATGGATGAAAATATATATATTTGATTTGAAATCGTTAGAACATTAGAAATCGATAGACACTGGGAAGTGGTTGTCGTGGTAAACAACCTACTTCCCTATTTATAATTGTCTTGCTCTCTAGCAACTTCAGCGCGAAATTATAGCTAATTTGCCTACAAACGTCAGGTGGTCATAATAATCTGTCCACTCAATGTATATGGCTAGCAAGCAATAGATATAGGCAAAAAAATACAAAAAAAACCTCGCTTTAACAGCGGTTTAAACTTACCCCGCCGCGCGGTCCAGTCCGAGAATCCGAAACTGCTCGGGCGGCCGCAAAGCATCTTGGGGCGGGCGCATGCGCAGTTTGGATTTTCAGCCGGGAGACGGGGAGGACGTCCTCCCATTGAAATCAATGAGGGTAGTAAATTGCAGCAATAGCTTGTGATGTGACTGATTTGGAGCATGCCCTACTATACTGCAATCAGTCGCTCAGTCGACTAATATCGCACATGTGCTTGCTTTAATTGCCACTCATGTGTTCCAATAGAACTGATTGATCAGTATACTTTAATAAAGGGACTTCGGGATCTAATTTTTCTTTGCAAGCTCCTAAACAAAAAAATGATATTAAACTCAGGAGTTAAATCTTTAAAATGCATTGAAGTACCTTAACTATTAACACTTTTTATTTACAGTGGTTTGTATTGTTTCCAATAAAACTAATTAATGAACACTTTTCAAAAACAGTCACAGACATTGGTGTTGGAGGTATGGGGTTATAGTTAGTACCCAGTACAATAATGTATATGGAAATTTTTATAAACTGAGAGACTTCACTTTAACAAAAAGAAGTACCAGATGGTCACGTGCAAATATTGCATGTGTTTATGGATCATTTTGATCTTGAGAAAGATCTCCTTTAAAGCGGACCTTAACTCCAATACTATAGCTAGACCCCTGCAAAAGATACTCAACATAACTGGCTTTTACTTCCTCCAATAACTCAATCCAAACAATGATTACCTTTTGTATCACTTGCCCGTCCTACTAGATTGTAAGCTCTCACGTGCAGGGCCCTCCCAACACTGTTGTTCTGAAACTGTATTGTGCTGTAAATTGTATTGTAACTGTACTGTTTCCACTATTTTGTAAAGCGCTGAGCAAATTGTTGGCGCTATATAAATCCTGTATAATAATAATATATTCCAGGAGGTTTCAAGAGCAGGGACATAGAGCAACTGGTAGGCAGAGTTGCGCATGTCTTCCAGGGCTGACTGCCTGAACTAAAAAGACCTGATGGCTAAGGAACACCAAGATGGCAACACATTACCTTTCCTGTGTCAGCTAAACAATGAATTTCAGCAGAACAATGATGGGTTCTGGACAGACAGGAAATCATGAATGAGATAGGAGAGATGGTTTTATTTCTCCTGATTAAATAATGCTGGCTGTCATTAAACCTGAAAGACTGACGGCATTGTTTGAGGCAATAGAAGTACTGTGGTGGACACCTCCAGACTGAGGGTAAGTATTGCAGCAAAACCAGCTTTTTTAACACACAAAAGAAGCACCGCTCTTCCATGGCTCAGGGAAGGAAAGAGTTGGGTGATTGCCGTCCTCACTACAACATGAGCCCATACAAACAGAAGAAAAGCTGGCCACACTGGTGTCCCCGCCCAAAGGTCTGCCCTCACTGACACGTTTCACCCAATCACAGGCTTAGTCATAGAGATCTTTACAAATAAGCCTGTGATTGGATGAATTGCATTAGAAAGGGTAGACCTTAGGCGGGAAACCAGCGATGTGGTACAAGCTTTCAAAAACTATCCCTGTGGAATCCGATGTGCTGCCAGCTTTTTTTCTGTTTGTATATTGTAGTGAGGACGTGCTCCCAATGGCAATCACCCAACTCATCCCTTCCCTGTGCTGTGGAGGTGCGGTTGTTCTTTTGTTTGTTCAAAAAGCAGCTTTTGCTGCAATACTTTACCTTCAGTCCGGAGGTGTCCACCACAGTACTTCTATTGCCTCAAAAAATGCCATCAGTCTTCCAGGTTAAATGACAGCCAGCATTATTTAAACAGGAGATATGCAACCATCTCTCCTATTTCATGATTTGCTGTCTGTCCAGCTGAAAGGTAGCTCTGCATAGATCGCAGACCGCATGCTGCCTCTAATATTGCATTCTGTCATTAGCTTTTGCTAATATTATCACATGACACAGGGAGCAGAACATGTACAAAAGAGAATTGCTATTCAGACGCGCATAGGGCAGCATGATGTGTAAATACAGAGCTCAAGTGATCCTTAAAGAATAATAAACCCCACATTATGAACTATTCTTAGAATATATTTCCTGTTTAAATCTTTTGTGATGTAAATGTCATAAAAAGTTTTTTTTTAAATGCTGTCTCTGAGACGTATAATATCCTCTCACATTGTATCATATGTGCTACTTGGGAGAGGAATGTATAATTAATTTATGTAAATGAAATCTCTGTATTCACCTAGCCCGACAATGTACAGTACATTTGCTAAGTGATGCAGAGGGAGATATTGTTCTAACTTAATGACATAGACATAATCCGAGCAGTGATATGTAATAATAGAACACCCAGACTGCTGCCAAAATAAATTAAGAAATAAATGTAATACTTATTTTTTTTACGACGGGTACGCTGTGGACAATCGATGTGTCAGTCTCCGCGGAAATATTGTTATGCATAACTAAAGTTCTAAAGCTGAATATAGATATTAGACATTGGTCAAGGGTGTGGATGTGATTCAAATGCTGAAATAACTTATTTTAATATAATACATTCTCAAATCATCCAAGAGTGCAGGTTCCCAGATAGCAAGGATAACTTGCCACAACCTTGTGATAGGGTTAAATTGTAATTCTTGTTAACTTGCCGCACATATTCCTGGCAAGTTGTAGACTTGCAGAATACTTGCAGCACGAGTTCTAGTTGACACTTTTTGAATTTGTAGCAAATTTGCTTGGCAAGTCTACAGCAAGAGTCCTGCGGCTCTTAACAAGAGCTATGCAAGTGTATAGCACTTTTACAAAGCACGTTGAGCTGGAGACTTGCAATGCAGACTTGCTGTAATTGCGCAACAAAATTGTGAAGCTTGGCAAGTCTAGCAATAATTTAACAAGTCATTTTCAAACTTGCAGCTCAATTGCTTGCTATCTGGGTTTATGTTAGAGGAGGAGAGTAGGTAGAAAAATGAAGGTAATAGCGTAGTTATTGAGACAATTATTATCCAAAATGTCTAATCACTAGTACCCCAGGCAAGGGTTGGCCAGGCATTCTCCAACTGCACCATCCCTGAACCTGCAAGGAATAAATACGCATTTCACATAAATAACACAAGCAGCTCATCCATAAGGCACAACTCATACATGTTTTGCCACTACATGTTCAAATTCAATATATATAGTGTGTGTGTGTGGGCGTATGTGTATATGTATATGTACTGTGTGTATGTATATATATATGTATGTATATATATATATATATTCGGGCCACTACTTTAGAGTTGTGGTCCTAACAGGAGCTGTGTTACTGCACAATTCTGGCTTTTGATTGGTTTTCACCTTTAGCCTATTAGAAACCAGCACTGTACCGACTTAACAACATAGAGAAATACCCCTCTAAACCTCAAAGAGTAACTGCACAGTAACTGCATTTGCTGCATTGAAACTTATTTTACCAGCATGTTTGAAAGGCTGGGTGAGGAGGGCAGGCATATTGTTTTTTAAAATTATTTCTTATTTCAGTTATTGATATATAGAAGGAGGAGTGGTTGCCATTACATAAAAACCCCTGGAAAGCATGGTTCAATTTGTCTTACGGAGGAAACATGATTTCCTGATCCTATAAGGCAATTGGATATTCCCTGGTGTTTATTTTACTTATAAGAAGTTCATATCCAATAATATTCTGTGCATTTAGGAATGCATCCATATTGTTTTTAAAACTGTTAGCTGAGCTCACTACAACTAGTTCCTGAAGAAGCCTGTTCCACATTTTCACAGCTTACTTACTAAAGAAGCCTTTCAATATGCAAAGGTGAAACCTCTTTTCCCCCAGACGCAGAGTGCCCCCTTGTACTTTGCTGTGACCTTAAAGTGAATAATTTTGCACCAAGTTCACTATATGTATGGTACCATTTATGTATTTATATGTTCTCATATCCCCCCTTGATTGCCTCTTCTCCAGTGAGAACAAATTCAGTTCAACTAATCTGTCCTCATGGCTGAGCTCCTCCATGCCTCTTATCAGTTTAGTTGCCCTTCTCTGCTCTCTCTCCAGTGCCACAACATCCTTTTGTAATCTGGAGCCCAAAACTGCATATTTCAGATGAGGTTTTACTAATGCTTTCTATAGGGGCAGGATTATGTCTCTATCTCTGGAGTCTAGACCCCTTTTATACAAGAAAGTAGTTTGCTTGCTTTAGAAACTGCAGCATGGCATTGCTTGCTGTTATTGAGTCTATGGTCTACCGGAACACCCAGATCCTTCTTGATCATTGACTCCCCCTAATTGTACTTCCCCTAGAGTGTATGAAGCATGCATGTCTTTAGTCCCCAAGTGCATAACTTTACATTTATCAACATTAAACTTAATTGCCAATCAAAGAGTACATTCAGATCTGCTTGTAAGCTGGAGACATCTTGTAACAACT